GAAATCGTTGCAATAAAGCAGAGAACATTTCACTCTCCGGCTTTTCTATACAGATGCTATGAACAGAGTAGTCACATGTAATACCGTGGATCTTGAGTTGGGTGCAATTGTCAACCAGTTTTTTCTTGCTGATATCAACCAACAGATTGAAGTGACTTAGGAAGTCTGCACCTAGTATAGCGTGACGTACGTCAGCTACTATGAAGATCCATGTGAAACGTCGGCGTAGTCCTAGGTTTAAAATCATTGACTGTTCGCCATACGTCGGTATGTCGGTTTGGTTGGCAGCACGAAGTGAAAGTTTACCAGGTATTTTGGCTGATCGCCTGGATAGTGAGGGGGGAATAACACTGACTTCGGCGCCTGTATCTACCAGGAATAATGTGCCGGTAGTCAAATCCCTCACATAGAAAAGGCGACTGGGGTGATTGCCAGTAACAGCTGTCGCCATCACTGTCTGGCTGAGGCGTTTCCCTGAGCCTGGTTGGCTTCGCTAAAGCTGCACGGTTTTACACATTTCAGGGCATGACGTCCAAACTTCCAGTGATACCAGCATATATTGCTATCCCGAGAAGACGTGTAAGAACGCTGTCGTGAGAAGGATCGTCGTCGTGATGGTGACCTTCTCTGTGAGCTCCGCCTCCGGACTTGTCGATCCGACCTATTAGTCTCCAACTTGTCAATCCTTGCCGCTAAGTCTGCAATGGCGGCGAGTATCGGTGTGTCTGCCGTGGGTGTGGAATGACACGGTGTGGCACTATCAGATGCTACGTGACTTATGGTGTTATCAGATAAAACATCCATAATACTATCTGCCATGTCACTTAGTTGGTCTAAGTCATACGACTTTCCTGAGATGATTAAAATTTGCTGGACATTTCTAGGTAAACGTTGCAACCACATCTGTTTCAGCACTACCTCGTCTACTTTATGATGTCCGATTAACTGGCGCATGTGCCTGAGTAGCTGGGATGGTTTACGTGGGCCTAGATCACAGCCTGTGAGCAATTGTTGGATTCTTTTCTCATCCGACAAACTGGTACGTTGTATGAGGAGGGCTTTAAGTTTATCAAATTGATGTTCCGTCGGAGGATCTTCGATGAAATCGCTGATTTCTGTCAATACTGACGGAGGGAGTTCTGCCAGCACCATACCATATTTGGCTATTTGGGACTTAATGCCCCGTGCTTCTAGCAACGGTTCAATTACCGCAAACCAAATCCTTGGTTCCGCGAAACCGTATTGGGGTAAACGAAAATCAGTGATGGCATTTATTGTGGCATTTGTCTCGCTATTAGTTGTCTGCTCGTTTGATGTACCGGACCGAGGTGATGACATTATGAATATGGGGTTATTGGTACAAATTAGGATACAAATATAAACCACACACAAAATCACAATGAATATACAAAATAGCAAAAATAAGAATATGAATATGCCAAAATAATCCGTGTTCTTATCGGGCTCACCAATTAATTTGTAGGGGACTAATATTAGAGTTCACTAACATTCCAAGTATAAAAGTAATAATCCAAGTCAGTGGAGTGTTAAATCACAATATATTACCAAAAATACAGTGACGAGTTATAGCAACAAAAAGGATTACTTGTAGATAACGTCTAAGTCCTCGACTACAAATTAATTATATAATCCACGGGCACGTTAATTGTTTGGACTGCGTCTGCTGTAGCTGCTGTGTTCCGGTTGTAGAAATGTCTTCGGTTGAGAGTAGTAGGCTCCTACAATAAATCCGAAGTATACAACACGGTGTGAGTGGAGCAAGTAAGCAGAAGTGACCAGGGAGAAGACGAAGTCTCCAACAGCAGAGTGTATTTTTCAATTGTACACGGAAGTTATGTATATTTCAACAAGAAGCGTTTTAAACAAAAATTATGTACAATATCTCGAATTTATACAAGTAACCAAAAAGTGTACAATCACATTGTTACGTACTCAACACATGGGTCAGCAAAAATAATAGTTCACAAAATGCTCTGATTGGGTCATGAGTGCAACGGTCTAACTAAACGGATCGATGTAAAAGCACGCACACAGTTCATTAAACAAGGGGGGATGGACACGTTAGACATGGATAACTGGGTTGAAACAACGCTAGGCTGATCCGGGCCAGGTTGACTTGATTCAAGGATGGGAATTGAATTGATCTTACACAGGATATCCCTATTCGATACATCGTAATCTTCAAACATGTGGGAGAATAATGCGTCCAGACAACGGCGTATGTACTCACGTAATTCAATTAGATATTTTCTTATACGGCAGCTTATAATAGCGTTAACGACGGAAAGATTTGCCTTCTTGGCAGTACGCGCAGAAGAATCCGCTTGTCTAGATCCACTTCTGGTCGACTGGAGAACGGTTGTTCTCTTCCTTCTTTCAGCCGTATTATTCTGATAGTTTGTGTATTCGATATTGAAAAACAGTGGTTAAACCGAGCGAAGTTTAGATACTGGGTAGTAATCAGTTTACCTTCTTGGCCCAAGAGAATGAAGACAAAAGACAATATTATGCGTTCTAGTGAGAACGATTCGACTACGCTATGCAAAAGTACTTCATATGTCAGTGGTATGTACCTTAGAAAATTATTCCAGAGAGAATTGCCCGTAGTAGTCACACAAATCTGGGATTCGGACTGGCCAGTCGCATTTTAGTTATTATTTTGCCTTAGCCGGACGACTGAATTCGTCTAATCTGGCTTGAGCCCATCAACTGACAGGGGCCTGTGATGATGATTTTAGTGAAGGCAACCTTCGTGACTTCTTTTTTAATTTTCATACATGGTACCTTACTCTTTGAAGATTATTTACCTGATCCTGAGTGTCCCATGCACTAGATAGTGATCTAAGTTCACACCCCCTACTTTTTCAGCTTAGCGTTATGTTGTCCCTACTACTACTTTCTTCAGACTAAGATGATTTCCAAATGATTCCTTCTGTGACCACCAGATGAAATCGACTTCAACTTATGGGACTATTTGTGCCAGCACAAGGAGTCTTCAAGCCTGATAGGACTGCTGAAAAATGGAACAAATATATCACTGATCTCAACATAATAGATCAATAAAATTCAAGCCAAGAGTGCTATTCACAACAAAGTTATATAGGAGAATTGACTTCAAGCTTTATTTTTCCCAGATATCTGTATCACATCCACCTGATGTCTGGGTTTTTTGTTAATGCGAAGACAATAGTTCTATATCTCTTTATGTGCTACCTAAACAGACTTTATAGCAGACTGTTCCGACTGACTCTGATGTCAGAAAGAACAACCAAACTGTAAATCCATTATACATCAAATTATGTGTAATTTATATAACGACTTATCCATGCCTGTACAATAGGTATTTTCCTGCATAAACAGGGAGAAATATGTCATTAATAAAGCAATATTTATGCATGCCTATACAATTGGTGTATCCTACATACCTAGGTAAAAATGTACCTTATTGTATTATCTTTACTAAATATGCTTATTAATCTTATGTGTAACTTATCGAATTGATGATGCCTGTAAACTGGCGTCCCTCATGTAAAAAATGAGAATATATATTATTATTATAAACCTTCCGAGAACTCATTAAAGAGACCTACGTTCCCGTTTATTCCCCTTGGTGAAATTCGACCCGCCATCCGTTTAAATTCTACGATGCCTGATTCCATTTCACTAGGATACAATTGATTCCAGTTAGTTTCTGTCCACAACAGTTAGCAGCTGCCTACTGAATTCTTCTTTGTTCTCCATCGAGTCTGATTTGTTCACAGTAGCGTAGCATTGCATAATCCTAGATTTTCTCCTTTTTTGGAAATTCTACTCTGCCATGATCCTAATGAAGAAAGATTTTCATTGCATAGGAGCTTCTGATGCTGCTACTTAAGGCTGCGAAACCCACTCACTCAGTGTACTCGTGGTTGTTCTCTTGGTGAATGGAGCAGATAACTGAAACCCCGGTTAATAATTTGAAGGAACAACCTCCATTATATCTAAGCACACAGATTAAAACCCTCCTGTATCCCGAATCTTCGATTCTTCTGCAACCTGTGATACCTTGTCAAGCTGAAATATAATAAGAGAACTCCGTACTATCATACTATTTTTCCCTTAATCGAAAGAAGGAGAATCGATTACCTGCCTTTCACGATAATGTCATCCGATGACATCTACATTCATGAGTTCGAGAGTCCTCTCAGTTCTGATGGAGAAAAGGCTTGTTTTCCTCTTCTGTGCAGTTTCAATAGCGGTCTGTTTATTTCTTTAGTTACCACTTATACATTGTCGCTTATGGAAAGGCTAGTGAACGATGCTTGGCTCGACGAGGAAATCATAACACTTATTTATGAATTGAAGATTTCCTTTGCTGCTTGCTAGAGCGCACCGGATTTAAAAATAATACTCAGATTGTGATCAAAATAAGTGTAGTAGGTTCTTGTTATCTTCCGTGAAATCATTTGAGCACAAATTCGTTGTTCATGTCACTTCTCTAACCCAGGGAATATTAACAGTTCAAAGCCATTTAGTTGTTATATAGTCAGAATCGCAACTAAAATTAATTCACCAAAGTACACCAGAACACTACCAAACGAGTGTGATGATGGATGTGATTGAGTGGAATGTGCCCGTCAAATAAATTGTTGCTTGTCTATTGAATAGGAAACTTCAGATTTATCCAAGTTTGTTATATGCTAGCGCGGTGATCCATTAAAATGCGACAGATGAAAGACGGCTTTAGGCAGCCTACGTAAATTCGAGGACAAGCTTTCAATAGTCCAACATATTTCAGATTTGTTTGAATGTACCAAAACAACCGTGAATGGCTGAGGAAAGAAAGGTTCGCAAACCAAAGTGGCGTGATAGGGCTTGGAGTGTGGTTAGATTCCGCGTGATGTGTTTCTCCTTCGTTTGTTCAGCTGCAGCCAGCTGCTAGACCATCAACACCATACGAACTGAATAGCTTCGATAATCACCGGTAACTTTAATGTAGAATGATGAATGTTAACTCAAGATCAGGTAATTGGCTAAGGATTTATATGCAACTTCTTGTAGTCCTCCGACCAGAATATCTAGATCATTCCTTCAATTTTTCTACCTCACGTGGTTACGAAAATTGCAATGGTATGCCATCGAAGAGGGTTAACACCAATACTGCCCCTGTCTACCGTCATGAAGAAGGTTCCCAATCTGTAAGTTGTCGTACTGGCCGAAAACGAGGTGAGTATTATCTGCAGTTATACAACTTTATCTCTAGCTCGCCCTTCTGCCGTGCCAAGCAGCAGTCATTATGTCAGTCCCAGTAATCCGTCTGGAAAAATTATATCTTATGATTCCGATTCCGCCAACTCTGTAAAGAGCTCACATGACAATTCTTCGTCGCCATGCCCGTCATATGTGTCAAAATATTCTGGTGATTCCACTGCTCGTAATTATGATTCCAGGTCTCATTCGCGACCCAGCCGTCCTGCAAGTGTAGCAAGCACATCCGTTACAAGATCACAGTCACATGGTCAAGCAGAACAAATCCGCAGGTCGCGGGAGTCCATTACATTTGCCCTTATCAACGCACAATTGTCTAAGCCACCTCTCAGCAAGGTAAGAGACATGTATATGTCAACCCGAAGCGGATCTGGACAAGCGAATTCTTCTGCGCGTACTACCAAGAAGGCAAATCTTTCCGTCGTTAACGCTATTATAAGCTGCCGTATAAGAAAATATCTAATTGAATTACGTGAGTACATACGCCGTTGTCTGGACGCATTATTCTCCCACATGTTTGAAGATTATGATGTATCGAATAGGGATACCCTGGCAGCTGATATACTGGGAATATCACTCCTACCGTGTAGTCCTGAATGTGAATATTGTCCAGGAATTATGGAAAAGACTGAACATCCCAGGCTGCGAAGACGTGAGTCTAAGAGTTTCAATTTACACCCAACTCATCCAGTTACTCAGATACCAAGTACTTCTAGTCAGTTTCCTGGTTCATTACCGCACTTGACACAACCATCGATTTCAGCTTGTCCAAATCAAATGCCTCACCCTCAAATTCTACCCCGAGATTCTGCAGTACTGAATGTTAACTCCGAGAATAACATCTGTCCTAACGAATCAAGTCCAGCGGAATGTCATCTTGGCGATTCGCCTGATACCTCTTTCAACTGCAAACTCAGTGAGTACACATTTCCTGAATCGAGTGCACTGTTAGAGAGACCTTTACCTTCATACCACATAGACGACTCTGATTCCCCCAACAGGAGTGTGGAACTGGACAGTACATCGCTCCAATTGTCAGACGATTTTGACAACTCAGATTGGCGAGCGAATGATGTTGATTTTGGTCCATGTAAAGAAGAGCTTGGTGACTCAGATTCCTTAGCTTTCGATTCCAGTTCCGGTACTCCATCCAGAAATGATGACAGCTTTTTCGACCCAGCATATGATGTTGGTGATCTAATGCATCACTTTACTATGGATAAATATCCAGGTCTCCAGCTCACCATAAGTCCATAGCGCTCATTACCTGTGTATAGATGCCTCTGTGTGTGCTCCCTGATCTCACCTATATCCTGTTTCGTCATTGCGTGACGACATACATGGTACTGGTTCATATGTATATACCACTTTGCCATGAACAAATGTCTGTGTTATCCTCTGCACTTTTTTCACATTTTCGACACTGTTCAAAAGATATATTTACCAATGCCTTTCTTAATCTAAATTTGCATTTTTTGTGTATTAGATTATATAATAAAGTTTAACTTGGATGACAATTTTATTTTAATTTACGATTGGTTAGTTGCTTATATGAGTAGGCGGTGTTGTGAATCGTTTGTATACGCATTGAGAGCATCGTCTTTTCACTGTAATAGTGTGAATCCCGAGCGTCTATCTGTCTCCATCGTTGGTCAACTTGAAATCGACTGGTGGCCTCAAATGGTGGATGGTTTCTTCCTTGCTAAACCTATGCAGTTTATAGAGGTAGCGTATAAAGTCTTGCATAACTGTTGTCTACTAGCGTTTGTTTATGAAAGCCGAAACGTCGTATTTGATGTGCTCACACGTGTTCACTTTATTCTGTAGTGGCTGATGCTGAGTACTAGATTTCGTGCTACCGACAAGCGTTTTCTTCACTTTTGTTAGTGTGCATAAAGGCCATGTGTCTGGAAAGGCTAAATTATTCTAACCACACACCTTGATTTCAAGTAGGCTGACCTGTTGCACAGTTTTGGGGGTAGAGTTTCCTGGGAATCCATAGAAACGATCTGTTTACTGCGGATGCTTAGTACGGTAATGGATCTAAATGTATCTTTATCCACCAAGCTATGCGCATTTAATACTTATTAAAGTGTAATACAATCCATTTTAAGATACGCAGAATAATATCAGGTCTCTGTAGACGTGTCTGGGCATTTCAAGAGTAGTAGTATCACAAAGTAGTTCCAAGTTATTCAGAACAGTCTGACCTTTGGTCGAGATGCGCTCAAGACACGGCCATTCAGACTTCAGGTTGCTCAATATTACTAGAAAGCAGTTATTCTTGCGGTCATATAGTGAGTCTTTAATTGAACCAAGCAAGAGCTGTTATTTCAGTGTTTCGGAGGACATGCTATTTGTGTTATAAACTCCTTTTGTTCTGTGTCACTTCACTGTTTTTTCGATACTGATCTATATTGTTATTCTCTGGCTCATTAGGTTGGCACATTATGACGAGGTTGGTAAGGTGGTCTCTCCTAAATATCTCATAACATTTCTAAGGAAATGCATTCAGAAGTGAATTGTACTACCCACTACACCTGTAGTTTTTAATCACACAGGGTCGCCCAAACTTCATAGTTTTTCGTTTCGCATCCTCTGTATTTACACACTACTGGTAAAATAAGAATTTTGATATCATAATGAAGTGAATATTTGTGATAAGTATTTCTTGAATCGTTTTCCATCTCTTAATGGTGAGTTGACGTTAGGCGAAGAGTGTTGGGCAAAGAGAGAAAATCAATCGACGAGGCTATAAAGTTACATAGACTAAGATGGCTAGGTCACGTGCTGCGCATGCCTAACCACCGCCTCCCCCGACGGGCATTACTAGCTGATATAGGTGCAGGTTGGAAAAGAGCCAGTGGTGGCCAAACAAAAACATGGCATCAATCCATGAAATCCTTGACAGTTAAACTGAGTCAGGTAGGGAGATGCAGACTTCCGCGTTGGGGCCCTCGGAACTCTAGGAATCAATGGCTGGAGACAATAGGTGACATGGCTCAAAATCGTTGTCAATGGCGCAGATGTATTCAGTCTCTGTAATCTCTCATATTCCTTTCTACCATTACCCATTCTGTTTCACTCTTATACTTGTCAGACTGTATTGATTCTCTCCACTCATCTTCTTGTCTACCTCTGTGTGCTATTTGGAACGTGGCAACTCGAACTGGTGCACTTCGGTGCCAAGTTCTATGTTGAATCCAGACAGAATGGTGAGTTGTTGCCTACTTTGAACGAACAATATTTGTTAGACGTTATGGGCGAGTTTAATTAATCAATACTGTAATTTGGTTATGTTTATATTACTATAATTACCGAAAGGCTTGCCCCATACTCATCTGTCGAAACAATGTCATATTCGTGCATAACTTCGTTGGACTAAACATATGTAGTATGATGAAATTAGTGCTATAGGTGTTGTCCGGCATGGCAAGTATAGGTTCTCAATCATAATATCCTGTGGAGTAATCTCAAGCAAACTAAACACGACTGGTGTTAAACAAGCCAGGTTCATTGCTCACTGACGAAGTATTTCAAACTGTCCTTATTAGCTGTTGGTTTTAATTTTTGACTGGATAACTCCTCATGAACGTTCAATTAGGGAGAAATTATGCTTTATTACTCCCTTGAGTTCCGAGTAGAACATAGGGCTTCAACAGCACATCTCCACTTTTTCCTATCTTCTGCCGTCCTCTTCAGCTTGGACCACGGTTGCCCACAATCTCTCATTTACTCCTCACACCATCTCCTCCATATCACCCTAAGACGACCCACTTGCCACTTACCATTTGGATTCCACTGGAGCAATAGCTTGACGCGCGATGTCATTTGACGGTCTCCTCATTGTATGCTTGGTCCTTCTATTTCCTCATACATATTTGTTGAGCAGTCGGCTCCTGGTTGTTTCGTTCCACAATTCCTTGTTACTAATTCTTTCTGTCCATTTGATCTTGAGTATGGAACGAAGGCAGTTGTTGATGAAAGTCTGCAGCCTGTTGGAAATCATTTTCGTGACACGCAGTGCAAGTTTCTGACCCGTATAGAAGGACCGACTTGACATTGGTGTTGAAAATCCGAATCTTGTTCTTTATGCAAGTTGAGTGTAGATTTCCAAATTGGTTTCAGGTTGATGAAAGCGTTTTTTGCCTTTCCAATTATGACTTTGACATCTTCCTCCGTGCTGTGTGCCTGTGGTTGAAACGATTCTTTCTAGATAAGTGCTTGCGGGAAGTAACCTCTGCTAAATCTTTCCCGTTGGTGGTGGTTGATGCTTGTTGTTGTTGCTGTTGGTTGGTTATCTTCATCACCTCCGTCTTCTCTATTTTCACCTGAAGTCCTGTCTTCGCTGCCTCTTCAACCAGTTTTTTGGCTTACGGTTGTGAGTCTTCGAGTTTGAAGGACATTAGACATATACCATCTGCGAAGCCCCGATCTTCTAAAGTCATCTCATCTGAGGTCCAGCGTGCTCCTGTCTCCTCGCCCGTCCCCACAGTCTGACGCGTAATTCAGTCCACCACAATTAAGAATATCATCGGTGACAATAGATAGTCCTGTCTTACTCGTGTATACACTTTGAACGCCTCACTGATCTCCCCGTTGTGAATCACCTGACACTTGGCATTGTCACATAGCCAGCTGTTGGATGAGGTTGATAAGCACTTGAGGCACGCCCTAGTGTTGAAGTAGCTTCCTTACGTCTCGGTCAACACTGTCCGTCGAAGGCCTTTTCGAATGGATGAAGTTGAGGTAGGGAGAGGTCTGACTGCTACTCTATGCCTTGTTCTGTGATGATGATACGTAGATTTGCAATTTGATCAGTACGTGACTTGTCTTTCCTGAACATAACTTGTCCTGGTTGATCGCGTGGAGTTCTGTATCCAGCGCATCTTTTTTTCTCTCTCCGAGATGATGCGACTTAGTATTTAACTCGGCATGAACGAGAGCATTATTCCACGCCAGTTCTTGCAGAGTGAGGCGTACGTCGCCCTTTTTTGGTAGCCTGACAAGATAACCAACCTTTCTTCTAATCGTTAGGTACCTTTCTTTCCTAACCTTTTGCAACAGTGGTGTGAGCACGTCTGCTGGAGTCTCTGGGTCCGTTTTCAGTGCTTCGGAGGGAATTCCGTCTAGTCCTGCTGCCTTTTCGGACTTCAGAAGCTTGATCGCATTTAGGATTTCTGCTTTCGTTCGAGGATTGGTGTCCACTGCCAGGTAATTCTGTGAGTGGTGATGTGTTTCTGGGCGAGTTGCAGGTGATGGTCGATTCAAGAGTTTTATAAAGTGATCAACCCATTGTTTTGTTTGTTTCTCCTCCTTGGTGATCAGCTTCCCTTGAGTATCTTTCGTTAGGTTCATGATCAGGGCTGATCTTTTTCCGGATAGAGACCCGGTCATTTGATATAATGTCTAATATCTCTTTTACCTGCGGTCTGCCTGTACTGATTCCGTTGCCAATGTGTCGTAGAATTGTTTTTCGTCTTTCCTGCCACTCTCCTTTACTTCTTTATTCTGGGCTTTGTAGATTGAATTCAGCTTCTCCTTCAGTCGCCCATCTTTTCATTGAGTTATCTGTCTCATCATCCTCCGCGCCTCTTGTAGCTTTCGAATGTCTATAAAGTATCTTTCATTCTCTTGCTGCTTTCTTCATCCTACGGTGGCTGTGCATGTTCCTCTGAACATAACTTTCAGAGAGTTTCATTCCCGAATGTTTTACTCGGTTTTGCTGCATAATATCTCTGATTTCTCACTGATGATTGCAATGATAATTTCTTTTGTAATTTCATCCTGTGATAATCACAGAGGGATTAGCTTGACTAATATAGTATCTAAAGTCTTGGGCTCAATAATCATGCGTAGACTGAGTGGTGCTCGGGAAGCACAAACACGAGAGAGCCAGGCAGGCTTTAGACCAGGAAGAGGGTGTATTGATCATATCTTCACCCTCCGACAGATTATAGAACATAGGCATTCCTACCGGCGTCCAACAGTCATTATATTTCTTGACCTAAAGGCAGCATTCGACTCTGTCGATCGGGAAGTTCTCTGGAGATGCTTGGCTGTAAAGGGAATTCCAAAAAAATATATTGCACTGATTAAGGCACTCTATTCGTACTCATACAGCCAGGTGAGGGCTTACGGCGAGCTGTCATCTGAACTGATGACGACCAGTGGTGTCCGTCAAGGATTCCCATTATCTCCTTTTCTATTCAACTTCATCATAGATGTGTTAATGGACTTAACCCTAGGTGACTTCA